AACCTACCGCCTTAAGCCGACAATAATACGGGCATTTTCTACATTGCTGGTCAATGTTGGGATTCTAGAAATTGCTGAAAGGCACCACGCCGTCTGCTCGAACCGCTGGTTGCCTTTTCACATTATTTTATAGGGTTTGTGCTATGTTTGGATCGAATAGATGGATTTAACGGGTTGGTAATTAAATTTTGAAGCAATGCCTCTTTTGTTGTCTTACAGGAAGTTTATATGAAAAGGATTTTAGTCGGATATAGTGGCTCTGTATACTGGCACACGACGACCGTCCAAACCAGGACCAAAGATATATACAGAGTGGCCAATATATAACTGACTGATTTAAATTGCTCGCCATTTTTGAGACACGCATTTCAGTATTGTTTAAACGTTTTACTTAACTATTGAGTCGATTGTTGCAACGATTCGGTCGAAATAATGTGCCCAGTGTCAACACCATTCGTCAGTTGGTGCGGAAATTTGAACGAACAGGTGAAGTTGAAGACTTGCCAAGGTCGGGCCGTGTTGGAACTGTTCGTACTCCGGAAAATATCAAGAGATTTCGTGAAAGTGTAGTGGAGCACCTCATTAAGATGAAAAAATAAACGTATTTTATTTCATTTCACAGATATTCAGAATACAAGCCAGTCAGTTACATATCGGCCACCCTGTACAAATAAGTAAATACAAAATAATATATTGACAGGTTACAGCATTATCAAAAGTTTGTACTACGAGTATCTTGATATGTTTAGAATTCAACAAAACGCCCTCTGATGAAAATCTCTCGTCATAGTACGGCTATAGGTTTAAAGAGGCCTCCAAAGAATTACTTTCCGCATGGAATGATATTGATTTTAGAAATACAGAACTGTTGATCTTTGTAGTTGATTAATAATTAAATCTTACCACTAGTGGACTAAAAGTTGAAAAATAGTGAGGCATATACCCGTTTCACAAAATGTATGTTTCTATTAAAATACAGTGACCAACAACATGAGTTGCTAGAACACAAGCAAGAGTTAATTGCGACATTAAATGAAAAATGACAAATTAAATGGATAAAATGTGTACAAGATATCTCCCTAAATTGTATCGACCTTTTGTAATTGTTCACAAAAGTTATAAAAGTACCTCTACTGAAAATAAATCTATGTTGTGTGCATGTCCATACCTTGTGAAATATGTTTGAAAGCCACATATGATTACCGGCAATGAAGTTTATGAAATATTGTTTTTTATTCACTACAACGTCTGTCTCTTTTTTGGAATTATCGGAAGCTCCAAAACGCCAAAAAATGAAATATGAGAGATTCAGTTTTTTCGATTAACCGTAACTGTAACTAGACTTTTCGAAAGCAATACCCAAGTTTTTGCCTTTATGATCATCATCATCAAATTTCGATTCGTGTTTTCTGAATCTAGGAAGGGTAAAGATTACCGGACAGACAGCCCAACTAGCAAAGTAGTGGTATAAGCTTTTGGTAAAAGAACCGTTCAGCCATAAAAGCTCTCTATTGTTGTTGCCTGAATACCAAAATGCTGGCTTAATGTTGTGTGGAATGCAAATTTGCTTTCTGCAACATATTTGCTCTAAAATGAGGTGTTTAAAATATTCTTGTAGCATAGTTATACAACACCTTATAGGGCAAATTTTTAACTGTTGCATAAACGTTTATACAACTATTTTATACGGCCTATTTGCAAGTTAGTCAAAATGGTTGTGTTGTGGCACCCATGCTAACGTTTATAAAACAAACCCGAGCCTCGTTGCTTTGCTGTGCAATTTACTACATTAGCCAACAAATTGCTCCCAACGGAAGCACTTATACAACTGTTACATATGCTAAATATGTTGGTAAACAACTTCATCATAACCTAACTTTCTGCTGTCATATTTTTGTTAAAATCCCATAACCAATGTTTTAAGACAAACAACGCATGCATATCGATTCAAAAGGTTTTATCAACTGTTCAAACAGAAGATATAGATCTGATACAAATTCTGGGTAAATCATTCGACTCTGTCGGTATTTCATTTCAGACATTTGTCAAATTGTTGTATAACACCTGCAGGCAACACCAAAATATTCTAATAACCTAAAGACAACATGGACGATGCCATGATTGTACACAACCACCCGCCATATTGGGCAAACATTTATTCCTCTATTTAATATTAAATAATTATGTTTCAGTTCGAAATTACAAATATAAAGTGATAAACATTAGTGCAATTGTGTCTAAATATAGGATTTGTGGAAGATTTAACGCAGATAAGTTCAGTTTTCCATCTTAAAGATCTAGACATACTTTTGATCATTGTCAAAATATGAATCAAATACGAAGCCCGTAGAAATTGGGTAACTAATTTGCACGATAATCACAATAAAATTTGCTGCGCAAGTAATTCAATAGCCCTATATCTAAGTGTAGAAGTTTATCATATACCTGTGTATGAAATTCACAATGGCCGATATGTAAGTAAACAAGATGACTGTAATGCGTTAGTTATATGTTCTTCACTTCGTCTATACAATACATAGGAAATAGTTTGGTTGCAATAAAGTAGAATCACGTAAGAGAATAGTTGTATAGTTGACAAAAACTGAATCTTGCACTGACGCAAATGTCCTATAGCGGCTGCAAGAGGCTTACACTTTTGTTTTATAACTGTTACCTGCAGCCCTTATACAACCTCTTAAATGACTGAAGTGTCCTATTAGGTGTGCCCATTCCGCTTGTATAGCTGTTCTAAGAGGGTTTTGCTAATGTTCTTACAGTATACAACGCTGTTTAAGGAATACTGTATAATCATTCTTGCAACTCTAATAGAAGTGATAATTGTTAGATGGGAGACACCTGCTGTCATGGGAAGGATGATTGCTTTGATATATTGCACAGCACGAAATTAAACAACGATGTAACTTCCTCATTATTATGGTTATGACCCATATATACAGTGCGTTTCAAAAAAGTCCCCCCACAATTTTTTTCTGAAGTGGTCAAATTAAGTACAAATTTGAAGTAATGAAATTAATAGATGAATCTTAGCGGAAAAGTGGCAGTTGAAGACTTTACGATGATAGCTAGGCGCTATGTGATACCTTATTTTGAAGCCTCTCATAAGTACTTCATAACCCCTGAACATAAAATCACTACCTTTCAAATTGGCGAACTGGCAGGCTGTCAAAAAGTTGAACGTTTTTGTATATTATATCTCCGAGTATCAAACACTTCTTTTTTTGAAGGGTCTATCTGAAAATGTAATGGAATGTTTATCATTCCATTTACAAAAATGAAAAAGAAGAATATAACATACTGTATATTTGCATTTCAAAAGATAGTGATTTCATATTTTAAAGTTATAAGGTACTCATAATGAAGTCTTACATGACCCCTCCATTCCATTCAAAAAATGGTTACAAGATTAAGCCCAGCTGCCATCTTTAAATTTTCAACTGATAATTTCAATGACAGTTAAAACATAACAGGTACTCATGTGTCAATTGCATCCTCCCAAATTTCAGCTTGCTAACTTTACTAGTTCAAAAAATTTGTATGTGGGTACTTTCTGAAAAGCACTGCATATGAATTCCAATCATAATTCTGACAGATATTTATGGCGACATCTAAACTGATTTCAAGGGTCGAAATTCAGTGAGAACCAGGCCTACTTCAAGATTGTTTTTTGAATATTTCTCGAAAGAAAAACCCTGACATTACAAACTCTCTATACTTTCTGATGCAGACGTTGCTTTGAACATCAATACCATGCTTAAATAAACGGAACCCCAGTTATTGCAAATATCTATTAATTCCACCTGACGCTGTTCAACTAAACTATATATAGTAATTGGCGTTTCCAAGGAGAGGGGATGACTTCCCGCATCTCCGTCAAACGACTTTTGAGAGAAGTATCAATCTACTTAAACCTATTTCAGATATCAGAAATATTCACGGCAGAATCTCAATACTTTTAAAATACAGTATGCCTTTATTTAAGAATACGTAACTGTAGACATTTATCATATCATATCCTAATGAACAGATATTTCGTTTGTCCTATTTTTCAATTCAATAACGTTTATAAGTTTTTCCGGGACCTTTACATACCTATAGGTACATGATTATTTCGGAGCTGCGACTCAAGTGGTTATTACAGGGATAACTTTGTCGTACAGGACAATATGCATTTTTGAGAAAGGATTGGTGTATGTGAGTAATTTTGCCGTGCAGGAAGTGCAATGAACCGAACAGGGAATGTTTATTCCGAAAAACTTGAATACAACGAACGTAGAATGTGGATATGGTTGGTATTCAAAGGGCGAGTTCTTTATTTTTGATACTTTGCTCATATTGTGTGATATTTTTCTGATCCCTGTATTATGTGATACAGTTACAAGTAGATACCAGATACATGTATGAGGCTTTGTTTTCTGTAGGATGAAATTAATAGCATCAAGTCCTGAAATACAGGCTATAATTTCCAATGGCGTCCTGATATCTGTTAAAAATTTGGAGCTTTTTATCGACAAGGAAAATATATTTGAAGTGTACCATTGTTACACATGACGCAAAAAGCGCTCGACCCTGGGATTATTGAGCCGTATTCATAAAACAAAGTATATCTTTCTACTTGCAAATTTTGGAGGAAATCCTCCAGATGGTATTTATAAAAATTTGAAGTAAATGCTTTTGCTTTTTGAGTATAAGCATATCCTTCAAAGCATTGACATAAGTAAAAGGATATTCATAATCTTCACCTTATACTTGGCATAGGAAGTATATCTTTAAAAAATTCTGAGTGTGGTCAGTAGCAGACTCAACTTCGTAACGAAAGGTGGTCAAACGATGATGGCGGAAATTGTGGATGTTAGGGATGTTAAAACGTACAAACCTCGTTTACCTTCACTTGGTCGTGACTTCAAAAAATTATATCGGTTCGACCAAGCAAATGTACAATGGCTTGCGGACAGATTTTTAGTTGAGAATGTAATCATAAAATGAAGATATGTCTACGCTATCTCGGTGACCCTAGATATCAACAAGGTATTGGTCAGGAACTTGGTGTTAGTCAAGCAACGGTATCTCAGACTGTGGAAAAAGTTGTGAACAACATAGTTCCACAGTCGAACGAATGGATCAAGTTTCCAACTACCAACCATGAACTGATGAAGGCCAAGCGGATATGGCAAAGCATATATAAATTTCCGACAGCAATTGGTGTAATTGATTGTACACATATGGGAATCCTGAAACCAAATCGCCATGTAGATGAGTATATCAACCGAAAAGGAAAACCTACTTTAAAGGTGCAAGCCACTTGTGATGCCAGAGAGATGTTCAGAAGTGTTGATGTCAGTTGGCCTGGATCAGTGCATGATGCCAGAATATGGAGAAATTCAGACTAGATCACAACTAATAAATAAAGCAAATGTTGTACTACTTGGCGATGACGGTTATGGTATTGAACCATGCCTTATGACTCCCTTCAGAAATCCTACTCCATCTGCAGAAATAAATTAAAATAAGCTTTTAAAACAAGAAAGAGTTATAATTGAACGCTGGTTGGGCCAACTGAAACACCGGTTTCCTATCCTACCGTATGTTTGCCGCATAAAGTTGGAAAATGTGCCGAAAATAATTATTGCTTGTATTGTACTCCATAATGTTGCGAAGAGCTTGGGCGATCTCCTGACTTTGAGTTTGTTGAACAAGACCCATATTGAAGATGAAGGAAATCATGAGAATGACGAACTTCCTCTCCGCCAACCATCTCATCAAATAAGAAGAAACTTGAGTATTATAATAAATAGTTTTACTGATTAAAGTGTATTTACAAGTTATAATAAGTTTTATTTTCGTGAACATCATAAGTTACAGGTGGCTTCTGACGCTGCATCATTTCTAGTTTCGTTTACTCTTGTTGTAAAATACTTGTTCGGTACTGCTGTAATAGCATTAGACGTTGCAGTTCTTTTGTAGTTAACCCTTTGGTTTCCTCAGTTTCGTATTTCTCTGTTGCTAATTTTCTTTTTGGTGGCAATGTCTTCTGAATTGCTGGCACTGTAATACTAACCGTTTGCTCACTGCGCTCGGTATATAGTTCATTTCCTTCTTCTTGAACACTACCAACCTGAATGGCACCTCTAATTTTCCCAACTTTAGGATTACAGTCACCTTCCATAGCTTTCAGTAACTTTCCTTCGCAATCTAACAATTTAATTGCTTCATTACCAGTTTTTTTATGTTGTTCATTTTTTTTAATAAGCCTTCAGTATCTAATGGTTTACCGAATGTTGATTCGTATTTTTTCAACATCTTCTTCAAGGCATCGTCCTTTCTCATTTTTATTTTTGGAACTTGTGAATTTTGCAAAATAATGGGAGCAATGGCAATTTCATCTGCGATGAACTGCAGGTCGTTGCCATTATTTTCTATAGTTTCCTCATCACTTGAGGATGACATGCTTATTCATTTGTTAAAAAACTGTATCCAGTACATATACGGAACGGTCTGTGTAAGCTCTGAAGTATAACTGTCAGTGATGCTGAGTGAACGAACTCCCACGTCAACTACAAGCTGGAACAGGTCTGGACATGTCGCTCAAGATACAAGTACCAGTCAACCTTTTACTTCTTCTTGGAGGATATCCTCGCGAGTATAAGGTAATCATTATCAATATGAAAACAAGGATATGCTTATACTTCTCCTTTTTCTCCGAAGCAAGACCTTATACTTTTACCTTATGCTTTCGAGGATATGCTTCTCTTTTATGAATACGGCTCATTGAATTATTATTTTTGGGAGAAAATTCAACAGTCTGTTTAAACGTTGTGGAGCCTGGAGAAGTGATTGAGGTATGGATCATCTCGCAGTTTTTATTGTAATTTCTTTTAGTTGGTTGGTGAAACTGATTGACTAAATTTTTGCTAATACAATTTTGAGTTATGTGATTAACAATGGCGTAGAAAGTGAATAAATATGTGAAAAAAATTGAAACAGAGACTGTTCGTTAGAGATACGTCAATCTGGTAATTTTTGGGTACTAATGTGCTAGCTTGTGTATAAGTGGTTTTTTTATACAAGGATATTCCCATTTTTTGTAATCGAAGCGCTTTGGAACTGCGGTGCTCAAAGTTTTATTTGATTTTCATTATATACATAAAAGATACGCATTCAATTTTTCATTGAAATCAATTGTATAGCTAATAATACTGTGATTAATTTTTGTTTAAAATGATGCCTACCAGGCAGCTCAGAAATGCTGATACATGCAAATAACTATAAAAAATCAAAGCCTGCGAATTTCGTTACCATCCACACCTCAATCACTGTTCCATACGGCACAAAGTAGGGTTTCAGCTGATTTTTAACTTTTTCTAGCAGAAATAAAAGTTCGACAAAGCCCATATTCACTTACTAAATAAGACATGGCTCTCTTTTTCGATAACAACTGTTATTCAGAACAACCCTGTTGTTGAAAACGTTGGTTGTAGTAACACTGTCTTCTAAAGCACAAGGTGTCATCGCGTTAAAAATGGCGTCAAGTAGGAATATGTTAAACACAAACTAGATCGTCTCAGGAAAAAGTCATTTAAATAATCCATAGATATTCTTTCCCTGCCCCACCGGTAGTGCATCTGAAAACGCTAATGTACAAAGAAATATATGATCTATGAAATATGTCTAATAGGTGCGTAGAATTGCTAATGTTGGGGGTATATAAATGTTCAGGATAAAAAATAAGATCAACCCTCTCTACTCCCTTACAACCCCCACCGCTAATTTTTTTAGCTCTAAAATTTTTTTTTTAAAGGATCAGGATCCTCTGAAATGAGGTTTGAGCGTTTTTTAATTTTTTGTTTTAGGCCTTTTCCTCTGCTACCACTGGACAGTTTTTCAAAAACTACAAAGTCCTTGTGTTCTTGGTAAAGTCGTAACATTGTGGAGAAATTTCGTCAAAATCCGTGCGGTACTGTAGTTTTAGGCGGTGATAAGATTAGCGGACAGACCGACCGACGGAAATGAGTGACATGGTTTTTCGTGATCTACATGTATATAACATCCAAAAAACATAATATATCGTTTTTTATAATTTTCGCGATTACAATACTTCCCCGCCAGTAGGCGTGGGCAGTAAAAGCATTAAAACGTACCTGCCGATTGCTAACATAAATATATACAAACCTCTTTTACTTAATTTACTTACCCAGCAGTGAGACTGTTCGGCCACATGGACTGGAAGGTCTGAAAAATGAAGAGTTCACTGTTTAAACATCCTGAAGATAAGAATTGATAGATGTGTCAAATTTGCTTTGCTCAAAGTAGACAGTTTGAATATCTGTATATGTATATTATCCAGGGTGTTCCTTAATGATATGCAAATGTTTAAGGATGTGAATCTACACGAAAAATTAATTTTAGTTTGCTTTATAAACTATGGCCCAAAAATGTTTCCTTACAAAAACTCGGGGTGTTGAACTTTTAGGAAAAAAAAATGGAAAATAATTAATATTTTCAGAACCGCTTCAGATATTTCACTGATATTCACTACGTAGTGAAAGTTAATAAAGTTGCATATTTTTCAATGCAAAAATAATTTATAGCTTTAGCAGTGGCGTGCGTACGGGTATTGACTTGGATATTTTTTAAGAAAAAAATGGTACGCCAATAGTTTTTTGCCAAATAAAAATTATTTTTGAATTCCCCGTTCAATTTAAAACAAATGATCTCTCTTAAATTTTTTTCCTTTGATGCGCCATTTTTGAGTACAAAAATGAAATCCATTCTTTTGTCCGAGAAAATTAATGTAATAATTGAAGAATGCAATTTAGCAATAAATATCTAGTTGCTCTGGAATATGTCACTGGCTTTTGACATCTGACAAGTCTCTGTTATTCAAATCTGTTCGCTGTGACATATTTTTCATTATTTAGTTTTTACTATCTTGTGGTGAATGGTGAATTATTCAAATGCAGAAATGGCGGAAATTAATTTATCATATTCCGATCGTGCTTTGCCAGATAGTCGAACCTTTTCTAATATTCATCATCGTCTTGTTGAAACTGGTTCTGTCCGAAAAGGAACATCTGAAGGTAGACCTCTAAGTGTTAGACCACCTGAAATTGAGGAAGCAGTGCTCCTCGGAGTCGAAGAACATCCTGAAACGAGTACGAGGAACATCGCTAGCCACTTAATTATTTGCCATCAAATTGTTTGGAGAATTTTAATGGATTTTTTGTTATATCCTTACCGTATTTCAAGAGTACAGGCATTACTTCCCATTGATTTTCCAAGGCGTGTGACATTTTGTCAGTGGTATCTTCAAAAAATTACACAAAATCAGTAATTTGAATCAATGATTCTGTTCACGGACGAAGCTAATTTTTCTCGAAATGCCATTCAGAATTTCCACACTAATCATTTGTGGGCAGAAGAAAATCCCTATGCCGTAACCGAAACCCATTTCCAACACCAATTTTCGGTTAACGTAAGGGCAGGAATTATTGGCGACCACTTTACGGGTCCATTCTTCTTGCCGGGACGACTTGACGGACAGACTTACCTCAATTTTCTTCAACCACAGTTGCCTTTGCTGCTTGATGATGTTCCGTTAGTAATAAGAAACAATATGAGGTACATGCATGATGGTGCACCAGCGCATTTCAATTTAGCGGTTCGTAATTATTTACAAACTGTTTATTCAAATCGTTGGATTGGCCGCCGTGGGTCCCCAGACCTCAACAATTTAGATTTATTTTTGTAGGGCTTAAGACACTAGTGTACACAAGTCCCATTAACACTGTAGAGGAATTAAGAGAAAGAATAGTTGCAGCTTGTCCAGAGATATTTCAACGAGTGCGCAATTCCATGAGATGGAGGGCAGAAGCATGCATACTAAAGGTGGCCATTTTCAACAATTTTTGTAATCATTTCGTTGGTTTTAATGTTAAGTTTATGTTGTCAGTTGTTGTTGTTCATTACCCCTAATGTGTTTAATTTTCTCTAATTAAATTAATAATAATTTTGCAAGTTAGACAATAGACAATTTTACTCAAAAATGGCGCATCGAAGGAAAACAATTCAAGAGATATCATTGGTTTTAGATTGAACGGGCAATTCAAAAATAATTTTTATTTGGCAAGAAACCATTGGCGTACCATTTTTTTCTTGAATAATATCGAAATCAATACCCGTACGCACGCCACTGTTAAAGCTAAAAATTATTTTTGTATTTATTAAGTTTCACTACATAGTAAATGTCAGTAAAATATCTGAAGCGGTTCTGAGAATATTAATTAGTTTCCATTTTTTTCCTAAAACTTCAACACCCCGAGTTTTTGTAAGGAAACATTTTTGGACCATAGTTTATAAAGCAAACTGACAGTAATTTTCCATGTAGATTCACACCCTTAAATATTCGCATATCATTAAGGAACACCCTGTATACATAGTTAACGTAATAAAATCCAGCGTTCATGCTCTATATTCACAACTACTCCAAATTTAACATTTTGCCCATATAAAGCTTCCACTTGACTTCATTCGCTTTCATACTCGTAGTATTGAGGACGAACGAACACAGTCGTCATGCAAAAAATTAAAGAGCTTATTTCAGGTAAATTATCTGTTGGATCTTCCACGGTCGATCGACTTGAGTGGTAATAATCGAATTGGAAACGATACTTCCGACCCAATTAATCGTGAATGGAGATGCTTTTCGACAATGAGGTGCACACTCGACGTTGTTTGCCTCGCAGACCGACAGACCCATGCACGTTTCCACTCACTTGAATTTGGAATCATTTTCGAGCATCTGCCAAGTTCCCTACACAGCTGCCTTTTGAGCAATTTTTGCGAGAACATAGGGAAAAGTTGGGTAAATCAATGTTTTATTTTAATTAATGACTAAGTTGTATGATAATTTAAAGTAAGGTTGCTTAATGTTTCTATCAAAATGCATAACAAAAAAGTAAATACTGGCAGTTTATAATGGAATGTTTTTTTTAAAAATTGTTGCAAGCTGTACAATTGATCTAACCGGTTTGTTAAATTGTAAACTCACGGATTTCTTAATGATTGATGACATGTCCAAATTTCAAAAGTGTAAAACAGGAATTTGACGTCAAATAAATCCAAGGAGATCATCGTGGATTTCTTCACAAAATTAGAACCTGTTCTAATTTTGGGCAAGTTGGACATCAATATTTCGTGGAACCAACCTTGTTTCCTTTTCATTACGTTGAACAACAAGTATGTATTAAGGTGGTACCATTCAAAAACCAGGAGAATATACACAACCTTTCATCATTTTCGAGTGTCTATATGAATTTCATGCTTATTCGCAATCATTAGCACTACCTAGGTGTGTAGGTAGGACAACGAACGAAAGCATGGTAGAAGTATCCACAATCATAATAATAGCAAGTCAAAAAATGCTTGCTTTCGTGGTGCATAGACAAACTATTCATGATGAAATCGCCGACAGAGGAAATCAAGCAAACACAAAGACACTAAATAAAATTCTTGTGAAACAAATGCGAAGTGGAAACTTTGTTACTACTTTGTGAGGCTATCAGCTGATTTATACAGCAGGCACAGCCCCCGAACTGCCATAGTTACAAACCGAGTCCGGAAACAGTTTCTACGTAATCTTCGATGTATAGTTAAGATAATAGCGAAAAGTAAACAAAATACTTCTTGAACATATTCTATTGTCTGGTTAACCAACGACATATTTATTTCCGTAGAACAAGTGTGGCAACACTGTACTTTTTCAGCGTTCTGCAAAGAGGAACGAAGGAAGAAGTTCACAGAATGGAGAGCATAAAAAGCGCGAAAAGCGAGAGGGAGATATAGCTAAATCCCGAGCAAAATAACTCGGCGGGCGTATGTTTGTATTTTGCGCAATATCGGCCCCGGATATTGCTTTGGAAGTTTACATCCTCTCTAATGAGCCTTATATTGAGCAGCCAGTGGAGCATGGATAACGCGTCTCTTGATTCTTTCAGACTTGAAAGCGATCCTCTACAGTTAAGTAGCGTGGAAGATATTTGAACGTTGTTTTTTTTAAATGAAAGTTCTTACAACCAACAGGTATATATCTAAGGAAAAGGAAGTGACGTTTTTCTATTTAGATAAAATCGGATTATTGAAGTGAATAGAACCAGATGAGGAATGCTTATTTTGCCATGCAGATATGTTGCATTATATAAAATGTTAGTGATAACGCTCCGATACAACCAGATTTCTGAAAAACGCCAAAAAAATGGAGTTACGCATTTTTTTTAAATGAATCTTCCAGAAATGTTTGTTCTTTTGAAGTATTATCGTACTGACAACTATACAGACCGTTGGAAATGAGTGATCTATTTTTTAGTAATGTATGTGTCATGTAATACTCTACCTATAGGGTAACAGTCCGTCAAATACAGCGAATGAGCTTCAAGTTCCAATTAACAAATTTTAGCAACCAATAGCTATGAAATGTTGAAAACAAAATACTGTCAAAGTATGAGATGACAGCTTGTCATTGAAACATCACCAGCTTATTGAATATTAAGAAATTACATATCATTTAGTCAAAATTTAATAAAGTGTTCGATTTTTGAATAAAATTCATGTTTTTATTTAATATTGTCGATTCTTTATTCATGTTTATATTATTTTCTTCAATTGATATGCGATTTTACTGATTCAACATCACCTACCGTGTGTTCTTTTCCTATAAACCTCCTGCAGATAGTCATTAAGCACCTACTTGATGACAGGCTCTACCAAAAATTTCATAGATATTGCTCGTTTCCAAACACTCATTCATTTATTTGCCGTTCATCAGTACCATTATAGCACCGTCGATTGATATTCCCACAAAACCATTCAGAATTTTTGATATCCATACATCCATAAAGTCAAATATTTTTTGGTTGTTCAGAAACTGAACAAACATTCACACTATATTTACAGAGATTAAGAAATACTCAAAAATCGTAAAGCTTAACGCAAACTTAAAACCTGCAAAAAAATAGAATTTGCAATAACTTTCTTGTTTCACTGAGTACACATTCTAGGTTATATTTATATTATTATTATTCGAATAACAGCTGATTACTACATTTCAAAACTCCCCAATGAGTGACCATGTGCGGGATCCGTCAACCCTTGGTCCCAGTGGAGTAAGCTCCGCCAACTGTTGAAATATACTCTACTATGCTTTATAAGACTATACGTGGAATTTTTCCCAAAAT